AACTTGTGGTCTACTAGGACTCCTACATCCCTTTCACACATAGTCTCAATAAGGCAGGTGTCCCCCATCCTATATCTATGCATTTCATTTTTTTTTTTTTTTTTTGCCCTAAGTGCAGTACCTTACATTTCTCCATGTTGAAATTCATTTTGTTAGCTTTGGCCCAGCTTTCTAATCTTTCTAATCAAAATGACCTCAAAAAGGTCATTTTGAGTTTTCATCCTGTGTTCTGAGGTATTAGCTATTCCTCCTATTTGGTGTCATCTGCAAATTTGAGAAGCATGCCCCCTATTCCTTCATCCAAATCAGGGGCAGGCAACCTTTTTGAGCTGGGTCCTGGGTTGCTGTCCCTCAGACAATTGGGGGGCCAAAGCACCAACAATAAATAAATAAATAAATAAATAAATAAATAAATAAATACATTATTTTTAAAAAATTTAAAAAATATGCATGCACACTCTCTCAACCCCAGAAAAGCCATGGCAAAACCCCTGTGGAGATTTTGCCAAGAAAACCCCAATAACAAGTAATAACAACATTAATCAATATCATCATGGCAGGCAGCGGCAGGGGGCGGCGGTGGCGGTGCCTAGGGCCTGTCAAAAGGGCTCGGGGGCCGCATCCGGCCCCCGGGTCTTAGGTTGCCTACCCCTGATCCAAATCATTGATAAAGATGTTGAATAGCACTGGGCCCAGGACAGAACCCTGTAGCACCCCACTTCTCTCCAGGATGAAGAGGAGCCATTGCTGAGCACCCTTTGGTCAGTCAACCAATTACTACGGTAATCCACCTAACAGTTGTATTGTCTCACCCGCATTTTACTATCTTGTTTGCAAGAATATCATGAGGGACCATTCATTGTTCTGTTGTGTTTCTATTTTATTGTGTTTAATTTATAATTTTTTTAACATAGCTCTGTTATCATTGTGTTTTAATTTTTGTATTAATAGTTTTGTTCTGATTTTTAGTCGTTCTGTGTTTTTAAATGTCTGCAAGCCACATTTTTAATTGATTTATTAATTCATCTACACCATTGGGGGGAAAAAGCTGGAAAGAGAAGAAAGCTGATGTGAAGAAAACCAATTCATTTGAAATGTGGTGCTGGAAAATTGTGCTATGGATACCATGGGCTGAAAAAAAACCAAATGAATGCAACTTGGAAGAAATCAAGCCTGAACGTTACTAGAAGTCAGAATGACTAAACTGAGGACGTTTTCACACGGGGCTTTAAACGGAGTCATTCCTACCTCCGTCCGGCCCCACTCCGGCTCTGTGCAGGATAAGTTCACATGACGTCGCAGCAAGCCCCGCCCCATCCAGCGCCATCCCTGCGCCATCCCTGCCTCACTCCGGGGTCTTGCTGCGCGTGTTCACACGACGTCACAGCAAGCCCCGCCCCATCTTGCGCAATCCCTGCGCCATCCCTGCCGCTAGCCGGCTTTAGCCCCGTTTTTGTAATTCCTTTTTTAAAAAGGAATTACAGGGGCTGCTGCCGGAGGCAATCAGGAGTCATTCCGGCGGCTGCTGTTTTCGCCGCCGGAATGGCTCTTGATTGCTTCCAGGGGGCTTCCAGGCGGCTTTAGAGCCGCCTGTGTGAAAACGTCCTGAGGGTGTCATACTTTGGACATATCATAAGACACCATGGCAGGGGGTTGGATTGGATGGCCCTTGTTGTCTCTTCCATCTCTATGATTCCATGTGTCTATGTCTCACTGGAAAAGATGATAATATGTGGTAAAGTGGAAGGCCGTAGATCATAGCTGGGTTGATTCTATGTCGAAAACCATGGTTTTGAGTTTGCAAGGCATGATCAGGGCAGTGGATGGCTAGGTCTTTTGGAGGACTCTCATTCATAGGGTCACTGTAAATCAAAGCTGACTTAAGAGAAACAATAACAGTGCTCTAAGCTTAGTCTGGATGTCCAGGATTTAACACCACCCTCAGACTTTCTAGTTTTTGATGGGAATATGTTACCCCAGGGTCTGGCCATCTGCACCCCTTCTCTGTGCCAGTATTAAATTGATATCAAAGGAATGTTTAGCACATATACCTGTGAAGGTGTCCCAGTGAGGGAAACTAGCCTTACTATATAAGGAGATCCAGGAGGATCAGCATTGGAGAATTCAGGAGCATGTAGCCAAGATAGATCGATCAAGATCAGAATCTTCATAAACCTTGCACTAATAGGAGAGATGGTGGGCAACAGACCTTGTGTTCATAAGTGAATGCTCCCCTCTGGAAGCAATACTCCTTCATCCATAGGACATCTGCATGGATAGCCAAATCATTCTCAGCTTCCCTTTACATTCTTTTCTCCTGGAAATTTCATTTTAATCCCAAAATCTGTGCCAGGATATGTTTTGCCCTATACATATGCCTGCTCAGGCACCACAAATTCAATCTCATTTGAAGTCAGACAGACACTCTGTCCATACCTCACCTGGCTCCTTAGCATAGCTGGCCACACCATGATCTTAAGGCAGCTTGTTGAGCCATTTCACTTCACAGTGAAATGTCTCATGATTGTCCCTTGATTGGAGCCCCACTTCTGGAATTGGTACAGTATCACTTCAGTTGCTATATACCATCTTTTATATCATTCATTCTTGGATGTGTGTATGGGTGCGTGTCTTTGTGTGAATTGTGATTTCCCTTAATTACAAATAAAACTACAATTGAACTTGCATTTTTGAGTTCTGTTCTCAGAACTGGTATACACAGGCTCAACCCCCACTTATAGTTACCTGAGTCCTCTTGCTGCTGTCATTTGAGCTAGATTCCCCATTTGAATATTAATTGTGGATGTCTTCTTGGAACCCTTGTATTTTGTGTAACAAATATTCAAAGACACCTAATTTATTTATGGAAGGAGCAAATGATCATCACTCTGCCCATCCTTAGTCATAGCTTTTATTACAATCCTCCAGTTCCACATTTCTAAGGAGGAAATAAAACCTAAAGAGCAAGAACTAAACTGGGTGGTAAACTTCTGATATATGAGCTAAAAGCTTCCTTTTGACTCACCTAAAACATCTTTCAGTGTTTCTGAAAGTCAATCTGGTTTGGCCTTTGACGTATCTCTAGGGAACCAAAGTAAGAGCAGTTTGGTCATTGTTAGCCCATAGCAAGCAGCATGTGATGGCCCTGCAGACAGTTTTATTCTGTTGACATCAGACAAATATACTAAGGCTGGTTAAAGAGATGTTTCTGAGCATGTCAGCATACAGGTTAAACAGCTTGCATGCCCAACACTCTTGTCACCTAGGTGATGAATGCTTGCATCTTATTTTTGACAAAACCTTGTGGGTGTCCAGAAAGTTTCAAAGCATGTGCCCACACATAGAGGGGAAATGATCTCCAGCACTATGGGAATGAGAGTTTCAAGATGAAATGTCACCTCAGAGCCGAATGAGCATGGCATAAAGGTAGTGCCAAAGAAGGTGGTTTAGCTTTCCTTACTGTGGTCCCTCCAGATGTGTTGGACTCTTAGAATAGCCTGAGTGCGTCTCAGTCAAGGCCTCTGGTACTCTCTTTTCTTTGGATGGTATCCAGTTAGATATTTACATCCTTGTAAATTAACATGTTGTTGTT